GGGCAAGTGCTTTACTGATACTACCGTACTTGGATTTAGGGTCAATTAGCGCTTTAACAGTTGTTTTTCTATTAACGAATGTACAATCCACTATTAATCTTTTGCGAATTTCTCTAATCGCTTCGGTTTTCCAAATATTATCTAAACTACAGCAATTTTTAAGATCTTGGATCGGAAGATACTTCGTTATGAATGGTATTAATTCTGGTGGAAGAAGATCAAGTAAATTAGGCATTGCTATTTAGCATATGTCGGAATAACTAATGTTTAGCTAATTAAGTTAGGCACATTTTTAAATTCGTATTTATAAAATAATTTAACTATTATAATGACCGAAGCTGATAATCCCGAGGCTATTCAAAGTATCTATAAAAAATTTGAAGCAATGTTAAAGCAACAGAAAGTAATTGATTCAGGTTCAAATAAAATCTATACAATTTCTTTAATAACACTGATTTCTTAACCAGCAGAGCAAGCAGCAGTTATCATTTGTTCTTTCTTTTTTTCAAAACATTTTTTTTTTATTTTTGTAACTAAATACAAGAATTTCACTTAAAGGTTCATGACAAGAACATCTTTATAAAAAGAAAATTGACAAAAAAAAAACATTCTCCAAAAGAGATTCAAAAATTTAGAAAAATAAGAAAAGAAATCTTTAGTTTCTCCATTATTTCTTTCTTTTTCTTAAGCATGTTTGAAAAAGTTTGTCTACCTTAGTTTGATTTTAAATTTTGGTTACATTGGATTATTTGAAAGATAATTGGTCAAAATATAAATAAGACATGTTATCCTATATTTTTCCAGTTACACAACACCAAATTAATAATATAATTGGTTTTTAAAAGATTTAAATAGTTTTTAGTTGAAAAAATAGTATAAAAAATATTAGATGAAGTTAAAGTTGTAAATTAAAAAAATACAATCTTTTTTTATTTCTTTTTCTTTTTTATTCTTTCTACAAAATTCAAATAATAACTTAATATAATAATAAGTTGAAATAATAATACAGAGGATGGACAAAAGTTTATGGACAACTTTTTTTTTTTTTTT